TCTATCGTGCTATTGTTGGGTTGAGTGTTCTGTGTATGTCTGTGAGGTCAAGTTGGTTCATTGTGTTGTTTAGTTGGTCTGTGTCTTTGTTGAGTTTCTTTCTAGTTGTTTTGTTCTTCATCAGCAGTGTTGTATTAAAACCTCCTACTATTACTGTGAAGGAGCTCTGGTAGTGTAGTGGTTACGAATCGGGCTGCTATCCTCAAGGGCAGTAGTTTGAAACTACCAGCTGTTCTGCAGGAGAAAGATGAGGCTTTCTGCTCCCGTAAAGATGTGCTGCCTTGGAAAACCTATGCGGGGTCACTATGAGTCGGAACTGACTCCATGGGACTTAACAACAACAACTATTATTGTGAAGGTGCTCTGGTAGCGTAGTGGTTACGAGTTGGGCTGCTAACCTCAAAGACAGCAGTTCAAAACTACCAGTGGTTCCACAGGAGAAAGATGAGGCTTTCTGCTCCCATAAAGATTTACAGCCTCGGAAACCCTGTACAGGGTCTCTGTGAGACAGAATCGACTCCATGGCACACAACCACCATGACCACTGCTATTGTGGAGTTATGTATTTCTTTGTTTAGTCCATTAGAATTTGATTTAGGTATTTTGAGGCTCTTTCATTGGGAATGTAGATTTTTATTATGGGTTATATCTTTTTGTTCAATTGAGCTTCTAATCATGATAGAGTGCCCTACTTTGTTTCATATACTGGTTTTTGCCTTAAAATTTATCAGAGATTAATTTTGTCACTTATGCTCATTTATGATTGCCATTTGTTGATATATTTTTTCCTGTCCTTTGATTTTAATCTACTTTTGTCTTTGTAAAAGTGTCTCTTGTAGATAGCATATTGAAGGATCTTGTTTTCAAATTCATTTTGTTACGTTCTCTCTCTTCTGGTACATTTCATGCATTTACAGTCAGTGTAATTATCGATAGGTATAAATTAATTGCTGTCATTTTGTTGTGTGTTTATTTGTGATGCTGTTGATTTCTTTGTTCCATGGAGTTTTCTGTGATTAGTTCATTTTGTTTGTGGGTTTTCTTTGCATTTCCTTCATTGCTGTTGTTTTCATGCTTACTAAATCTTTTTGATTTTCCTATTTTTTATTTTGATGGGAAGGTGTATTAATTTTCTTTGAAGTTACCCTGTGATTCATTAATTTTTTCCCCAGTTTAAAACACTCTGTTTTTTCTTGAAATTTACTGGATTTTCTCATTTTACAGGAGTTATAAATTGCTATTTCTGGTTTCCTGTTTTGTCTTGTAGGTTTGTATCACTTTAAATACCTATATATCTGAATTGAGTTTTGGATGGTACTGTCATGTTTTTTAATCTCAAGTTGTTGTATGCTATTGTTGGTTCTCAGTCCAAAGAACACTCTTTAGTATTTTTTCTAAAGTTGGTCTGGATGTTACAAATTCCTTTACTTTCTATTTATCTGCAAATGTCCTTATTTCACCATTTTATTTGGGGGACAGTTTTGCTGGGTATATGATTCTTGGTTGGCATTTTTTGTTGTTGTTGTTGTTTCAGAGTTTTGTATATATCATTCCATTATCTTCTAGCTTCATGGTTTATGCTGAGAAATCAGAGCTTAATATTATTGGTTCTCCATTACAGGTAACTTTTCATTTTTCCTGAGAAGCTCTCAGGGGTCTTTCTTTGTCTTTGATTTTGGCAAGTTTGTTTATAATATGTCTCAATGATTTTCTTTAGGGGGCTATCCTTTTTTGAGTCCTTTTGGCTTCTTGAATGTGTATCTTATCTTTCATACTGTAGCAAAGTTTTCATCCAACAGCTCTTCAACAGTGTTCTCTGTGAATTTTATTGTGTCTTTCTGTTCTGCTGGAATCCCAATCACCCGTAAGTTATTCCTCTTTATGGTATTCCCCATTGATCTTAGGCTTTCTTCAGATTTTTTCCTTCTTTTCTCTGATGGCTCTTCTAGTTTACTAGTAATTAAGAGATTTATCTTCAAGCTCACCAATTCAGGCTTCCATTGTTTCAAATCTTGCCTTTTCAATGTATTGTCCATTTCTGAAATCTTACAGTCAATCTTCTGAATTTATTTTTCAGGTTTCATATATTTATATTTCAGAATTTTCATTTATTTTGTCTGTTTGTGCATGTAGTTTTCCTGATTTCATAAAAAAAAAATTTCTGTGTTCTTCATGCTTTCTTTGATGTTTCTCTCAATCCGTTGAAAGTACCAACATATTACACTTCTAAATTCTTAGGTATTTCTATGATCTTTTCTTCCTCAGAAACACCTACTGGCTCTGCCTCTTGGACATTTGTTTAAGCCACTCCCTCTTGCTTCTTCATGTGAACTGAAATTATTGTTTCTGAGACACTATGGTATTGCTGTGTATGTATTGAATTGACAATTGTATGTTGGTGTATTGTTAGTTCTCATTAACTGTCTCATAGTGGGTGTTATTAGAGGTTAGAAGTGTGTGTGCCCAGTTCTCTGTTCATGCAGCTCAGTTTAGGGTGGGTTTGGCTGGTATTGTCTGTGGATCATTTGGTATAGGAGCTGGTATTGACTCTTGCCCAGTGGGTGGAGATGGTACTCCTTTGTCTGGGCCGTATGGGCATGTATTCTGTCTCTTTTCTGGTGGGGTAAGGAGCTCTGGTAGCGTAGTGGTTACGAATCGGGCTGCAAACCTCAGGGTCAGCAGTTCAAAACTACCAGCTGTTCCGTGGGAGAAAGATGAGGCTTTCTACTCCCATAAAGATTTACAGCCTCGGAAACCCTGTACAGGGTCGCTATGAGTCGTAACCGACTCCACAGCACATAGCAACAACAACAAGAGTAAACATACACACATACACACAAGAAAATAAAACAGTCATGAAAAAAGAAAATAATGAAGGATAAAAAAAAAAAATCACTCAACACCCAAAAAACCAATATAGTTTCTAAGAAGAGAATAGAGAGAAAATACAATTGAGTTATGTTGTTGTTATTGTTGTTTAGTGCCAGCAAGTTGTTTTGACTAATAACAACCCTGTCTAGAGTTTCCGAGGAGCAGCAAGTGTGTTTCAACCAGTCACCTTGTATTTAGCAGTCCAGTGCTTATCCTACAGTGCCAGATAAAGGTGAAAAATAAAGAGAGTGGGGAAAAACACCCTTAAACAGAAATAGTGAAAAGGAAGGTGAAAAAAGAATGACGACAAAAAGGGGGAAAAGAGAAACAGAAGAAAGAAAAAATGAAAACTGAAACAGAAAAGATAAAAAGAAAGGGAAGGGAAAGAGAGGAAGATGGAAAAGAAAGAGTAACCAAAGAAAAACAGTGAAAGAAGAAAAATAAACAAAAACCTAGTGTAGGTGAGAAGAACCTTCTGGGAGGTTCCTGTTAATCAAGGAGGTCCAAGATGGTTGAGGGAGGCCTAAATGAAGTTTGTATAGGTCCAGGGCTTCTGGTGTGGCACAGCAGGATAAGCACTGGACTATTAACTGTCAGGTTGACAGTTCAAACACACCAGCTGCTCTTTGGAAACCCTATACAGGGTGTCTCTGAGTCAGAAGCAACCTGACAGCACTTAACAACAACATAAGCCAAGGTATTGTCTATCTGAATGAGAGAGTCACCAGGGGCCAGTTTAAGGCTCATCAGGCAGCTCTGTGGGCTCTGTACATCTGGAAAAGAACCCACTCAAATTCAGGCATCATGGTAGCACTTTGGATGCCCACCTATCTCTGGCTCAGCTACATCCTCTAGCTGTGAATTCCCAGACAGCAGGGACCTGCACTGGGGGTGGGTAAGAGTGAAGGCTGGCTATTCCTCCAATCACCATGGGAACTTGAAGAGCAAGAGTGAAGTACACCTGTCCTGTTGTCAGTCCCCAGTGTGAATCTGTGCTGCCAAACCGTGGTTTCTGAAGCTGCCAGCAAAAGTTCACAATGGATGCTCTACGTCCATCTGAGAGAGCATTCACGGGTCTGTCTCCCTCCTCTGCAGTTCCCGCTCAGCCTCTCCTCCCAGGAAGTGTTCCACGTACTTCTCCAACCTTACTTTGAAGTTTAGGTTTCCAGAATTATCATCTGTGTGTGTTTCATTTGGTCTCCGGCTCTTCCCCTATCTTTGCTGTAGATGGTCTGAGTAGTGAATCTGCGTAGTCTGCCATCTTGGTTCTGCTTCCTAATTGTCTCCTTGAGTTTTAGATTTTCTTCTCTTTTTTTCTATATGGTCTTCAATGACTGATTTTCAGAAGCAGATTGTCTGAACTTTCTTCCAAGATGCCTTTGAATGGACTCAACCCACCAAGCTTTCTGCTTATCAGACAAGCATGTTAACAGTCTGCACCACCCAAGGATTCTCACTGTGGCCCACAAAGGTTGATTTGCTTGTCACTGTTGTTGTTGTTGTTGTTGTTGTTGTTATGTGCTGTCAAGTTAATTATGCCTCATAGAGACCCTGTAAAGGGTTTCTGAGGAGTAGCTGGTGGGTTTGAACTGCCAACCTTGTGTTTAGCAGCCTAAAGCTTTTCCTACAGTGCCACACCACCTAACATTAATTATAAATTCTATTAGGGTTTCTAGTCATAGGAGGTTTCTCTGTGCTAAGCTCTTTGCATGAATTTACTCGTTTAATCCTAATTGCTCAATGAGGCTTATCTATCTTAATTATTTCCATTTTGCAGATGGCAAAACTGATGGTCTAGTGCCTTGGATAACTTGCCCACAAACACATGGACTGGCAACGGCCAAATCAGGGAAGAAACAGGATCTCAACTCAAATTCCACAGTTCTTTCTAGAAGCAGAGCCCAGGGCACAGGCCCTTAAACTATCTATTCCATGTGGTTGAAAGAAAGGAAGGAGAAAGTAGGGAAGAAGGAGGTCTGGCATGAACCCATCTCTCAGGTTGCACTTTGGTACCCTTTTCTGGAAACGAGTGCTTTCAGAAGACGAGTGCACTAGTATTCTAGTGAACGCCCTCTGAACTCCAAAGGCCAAAGAGATGCCGAGACGCGGAGAGCTGTGGCCCTCGTTACCTGTTCTCAGGGTCAGCCAAGGCCATACTCCTAGTGATGAAGCACATCTTGAGGGGGATGCTTTTCCGGTCTCTGTGGAAGGAGAAGGACTGTGGTGATAGTGGGTCTGAAGAGCTGGCCCCTAGCCGAGGGGATTCTGGAGGAGGAGTTTCCCACCCAATCTCAGACACTGGGGAGCCTTTCTTCACATAGGGCGTGGCTTCTCGCATGTACTTCACTGCAAGCAAAGAAACAACAATGGGAGCTTTTAAGTATGTCTGATCACTGGCAAATATGATTGCTTCTGTGAACAGCGCACTGAGCACATTAATAATGGACCTTTTAATTTAGAACAAGGTTTAGAATTTCTCTTTCTCCTAACATAGTTATCCTGCTATTTAACTATGTGCCAACGTCATTCTACGAAAATGCTATTGTGAGAGACGCTGTGCAGTTGAATATTGCTTTCAGCTTTTTTTCAACTGTGACAACATCTATCTTTTCTGATCATAGATTGCATTCTGGGAAAGAGACTGAAAAAAAAAATGGGCAGAGAGTAAAAACCATTACATAGGATGTCAGACACATAATTATTCAGTATAGATGTAGTAACAGTCACGATTTTCTATTGGGCAGCAAGAACAGGCTTTTCAGTTTAAAAATGCTAACAGCTTATATGCAAAGAAATACATATTAGAATTTTTTGGTAATAGACAAATTTTGAATGAGCATTGTTTGTAAGCGCAAAATTAGAAAAATCTTAATGTTCTCTCTCACACACAAGAGGTCAGGCTAAATAGTGGGACATCTATACAATCATTTAAAAAAAAACTATATA